TGTCCTTTTTTCTTCTTTATACTTCTGTCCTGTCGTTTCCTTTTTTCTCTTGTTCTTTCTCCTTTTTATTATCTCTTTCCCCATTGCTTCCCTCTGTTATAGCTTATTATTACTTCCTTTTCTCTCTTATATTTCCTTATTTCTTCTCTTCTTCTCCTTTCTTTTTGTGCTCTTGCTTCTACTGCTTCTCTCTTGCTTATTATCATTCTTTTGTCTTGTCTCCTCATTCTTTCTTCCTTCTGCTAGCATTTTCTCTTCTATTCTTTTGCTGTTGTATCTGTTTCTCGTACTGTTCCTTTCTGTCTTCTCATCTGTTTATTGAAGTTCCTCTCCTTGTCATGGTCTTCTCATTTAGCATCTCGTCACATTGCCATTCCTTTATCATGTTAATTCTTGTAGTTGTCTTTATATTGTCCTTTCCATTCTTCTTCATCACTTTTCTTTCAGTTCCTTATCTCTTCCTCTTGATTCCTTCTTGTTTCCATATATCATCTTGTGTTTCCTTCATCTTCTTCCTAGCTTTTTTTATCTTCATTTCTCTTGCTATCTTTGTATCTTCCCTTGTTCTCGCCTTTATGTTGCTGATGATTTTTATTATTTACTTGTTTTCTTCTCTCTCTACTATCACTGTTGCTCCGTTATTGTTTTCTTCTTCCTTCCATCGTCTCTTTCTTATTCCTCTTGTCGATAGCTCTTTCTTGCGTCTCTCTTTTTCTCTTCATGTTGTCTAGTTTATTTCTCCTCCGTTTTCTTTTCTTCTATTATCTTCCATTATTCATTTGTTATTGTTTCCCTTACTGCCTACTAATCCTGCTTCTCTTCTCTCGTACTTCTTCCCATTGTTTTTCCTGTCTTCTCTTATGCTCTTCTTTCTCTTGTTCTCTGCTGCTTCTCTTTTTGTTCAACCTTTTTCGCTTGTTGCTGCCACTTACTCATTCCTTCTCTCCTTCTTTCTTCTCTCTTTTTCTGTTACATCTCTTGTTACCTCTCTTCCATTGCCTTTATTTCTGTCTTTCTGGTTACCTTCCATTTTCCTCTCTCCTGTTTTCCTTCTCTTAGTGTGCTTCCTTTCCTATTGTCTTTACTTTTGTCTCCCTAGTTTCTTTTGTGTTCATATTACTTCTCTTGTCTTTCACTGTTATATTCTTAATCATCCTCGTTGTTATTATTGCTCTCTTTATTTTATTGTGTAGTGATCTATTTTTTCCTTTTTTCTTGCTCCTGTCCTTTCCTTCTTTGTCTGCTATTCCTCCGTGTCTTGCTATTTTCTACCTTATTCTGTTCCGTTCTCTTTTTTTTCTCACTCTATCTAGGTCATACTTCTTTCTCTTTATTTCTTCTTCTTCTCTTTCCTGTTTTTCTTTCTCTCGCATTTTTTTCTTTCTTTTACTTTTGTTTACTTTGTTATTTCCTTCGTCTTTTTCTATCTTGTCTTGTTTCGCTATTTCTTTCACTGTCATCTCTATTTTCTCTTCCTTTTCTTTCATGCTTTTCTTGCTTTTCTCTATGTTTGTCATCTCTTTTTTCTCTATTCTTTTCCTGTTCTATCTTCTCTATTGTGCCTTTCTTGTTTGTTCTATTCTTGCTTCTAACTTCTTATTGCTTTCTCTCCTGTCTTACCTATACATCGTTGTCTCTATCGTCATTCTTTTCTCTTGTTGCTGTTGACTCCTGCTTGCTGTCTTCTCGTCTTCGCTCCTTTCATTCTCTTTCTCTTTTCTTTACTTTTGCTTTCCTTCTTCTTCGCATCTTTCTTTCTACTTCCTCCCTATTATGATTGCCTCTCTGTCGCTTTTTGCTTGTTATATTCCCTGCTTTCCTCTATTTCCACACTTTGTTGTTTTTTCTTCTTTCCTGTTTCTTCCTCATTCCTTGTTCCTCTCGCATCATCTTAAGCTTTCTTCTTATTTTCAGTTGCGTTCTTTTTGTTTTGTCTTTGTTCATTTCTCTTCCTCTTTTTTTTCTAGTCCCTTCTTTTCGACTTTGTTTGATATCTTCTCTTACTGTCATTTTTCTTTTTAAATCTTCTTTCCTTTTTTGATCATTTTGCCTCTTCCCTTCTTCCGCCTTGTCTCTACTTTTTTCGTTTTCATCATCTACTATCGCTCTCTTGCTTGGGTTATTGATTCTTTACTACTTTGCTATTTTGCTATTCATTCTATCAGTTTTATTTGTCTTTCTTCCTCTTCTATCTTCATTACTTTCGTCTTTATCTTCTCTTCTCTTTTTTTATCTCTCCTGTTACTTCTTCTTCCTTTTTCTCTTCTGTCTTCTCTCTTTTCCTGCTTTTTGTTACTCCCAGCATTTTCTCTTCTCTCGTTCATAATCTCCTTTTTCTTGTATTTCTATCGTTTCCCGTATCTTGTTTCATAGCTACCCTTTATTTCTAGATGTTGTGTTTTCTCTCCTGTCTTGTTTTCTCTTTGATTTTTCCTTCCTTCTCGTTACTTACTCCTCTCATCTCTTCTAGCTGTTTAGACTATCTTTTATTTTCTTATTTCTACCTTTATTTATTCTAGTTAGTGTTTGTTTTATCCCTTGTTCTTCCCTTTTTTAGTTCCTTATTTATTCCGATTCTCCTTCCTTTCTTCTCTCTTTTTCTACCCTTTTCGCATTTTCAGGTTGTTTGCTTTTTCTTCTTCATTCTCTCTTCTCTTCTTTGTCTTCTCGTCTTTCTTCCTCCCTACTCTGTTCCGTGAATTTGCTATCTTATTTCTATTTTGCAGTTTCGTCATTCTTATTGCGCCTTAACTATTCTTTATTTCGCTACTTTAGCTTCATATCCTCTTCATCTTTCTTCTATCTTCTGTCCTCATTCTCCTTACTCTTCTATTGCTATCTTATTCTTGTCTCTTCCGATTTTCATGTGCCGCTTATCTACTCTTTCTCTTATTCTATCTATCTTCACTCTTACTTGCTTCTTTCTCTTCTATCTTGCCTCTTGCATATCTTCCTCGCTCCTTTGCATTTTGTGCTTTCTTTTGTTTTCTGTTCTTGCTGTACTTGTGCTCTCTTTCGCTTTATCTTTCCTGGTTTAGTCTTTGCTCATGTCTCTTATCTTTTCTCATCACTGTTTCTTACTTTCTCTCCTTCGTTTTTTATCTCGCTATCCTTTTCTCTCTGTTTCAACTCATGCCACTTTTCCTTATCTCTCTTTCTCTTCTCGCGTCTCTTGCTTCTTTTCTCGTCTTTTCTATCTTCTGGATTTCGTCGTTTACTTGTTTCTCTTTTTCTATTTCTTAATCCTTATTTCTTGTCTCTCGCCCATCTTTTCTGTCCTTCTCTATTTTCTTTCCTGTTTCTTGCTCTCTTGTATTCAGCTTTCTTCTTTGTCTCTCCTGTCCTGCTTCTTACTATTTTTATTCTGTTTTTCTCCCTTTTCTCTCTTGATTTCTTTTGTTCTCACGTTGTTTAGTCCTTCTAGTTGTCTCTTTTCTTATTCTTTCTTCTTTGCTGCTTTTTGCGCTTTGTTGCTTGTCTGTCCTCCCTTGACTTTCTTTTCTCTCTTCTAGATTTCATGTTTCTCCTTCTCTTTTTCCTTGCTTGTTTCTTTTCCTTTCTCGTTGTTACTTCTCGTATCTTACTTCCTTTATTTAACTTTCCTTTATCTTTATTGCCGCTGTTATCTCTCTTCTTTCTCTTTCGCTTCTTCCTCGCCTTTATTTATTCCTTCTCTTCCTCTTGCTCACTTATTATTTTCTCTCTCCTGTCTTTGTTTTTCTTCTTACTTATACTTGTTTCTGCATCCTGCTCTTCTACTTTCCTTTTCCTCTTGCCTTCTCTCTGTCTCGTGTCCCCTTTTCCTCCCCATTGTTTCCTTCGTGTTGTTTCCGTTTTATCTTTCTTTCCTATTTTGTTTTCTCCTGTAGTTCTTTTCTCCTTCCATTCTTGCTACTACCTAATCATAGTGTCTTTCGCTGTCTTATTTATTCTTCATATCGGTATTGCTTTTTCTTCTATTATACTTACTCATTGCCTATGCCTTCTACCTTTTGTTTACCTTTTTTGTTTCCTCATGTCTTGATTTTACTTTCTACTTCTATCTTTCCTCTTTGGCCTTCTCTGGCCTTCTGTTGCCCAGTCATTTTATTGCTTCTTTTGCCCTTCCTTAGTTCTTCTTATGATCCATTTATGTTCCTTTCATTCCTCGTTGTCTCTCTAGCGTCTCTCTTTTCTATTGTTGTGATTTCCTTTTTCCTGTCTGCTCCCTTCTTTCTTGTGTTCTCTTTTCCCTTGTTATCTGTGGTTCTCTTTCTTGCATTCCGTCTTCTACTTATTTTCTCCTGTTTATCTCCTTTGTACTTTTCTTATTCACTTATTATTTTTCCCTATTTCCTACTGATTATTTCTTCCTCCCTGTTGTCGTGCATTCTTCTCTTCGTTTTCTTCCTTTGTCTCAATCTATTTCTGATGCTTTCTCTCTTGAATATTTGCCTCTTTCTCCTATTCTTTCCTAACTTCTGTTTTGATTCCTATTTTTCCAATCTCCTCCTCCTATCCTTCTACCGCTTATAGCTGTCTTTCGTGTTCTTTATTTTTACCTTATCTTTTCCCTTCTTCCTGGCCTCCTTCGTCTTGCTTTGTTATACTTGGTGGTTTTCTTTTTTTCTCTTATTTAGCTTATTCTGCTTCTTTTAACTTACTTTGTCATCTTTCTTGTCTTTATTCGTTTTATTCTCTTCATCTCTCTCTTTCTTCTATTAGTTATATTTTCTTGTGCTTTCCTTTTTCCGCTCTTATGTCTGTATTACTTCTTGCCTTCTGCTCGTGTCTGCTCCTGTCCATCTCTTTTAGCTCGCTTATCTTTCGATCGTACTTTTCCTTTTCTCCGCTTTCCTCTTACTCTACTAATTGTTATCATCTTCTTGTTACTTTTCATTTTCTTTTCTGTTACTGTCTCTTACTTTTCGAATCTCCTTCTCGTCTTTACCTTTCCA